GATCCTGAGCCTGGCTTCCAACTCAGGAAAGCTTCTTTAATTTCAGATCCCAAAAGTTAACAGCACATTTTCTGATCCCTCTGTGTGATGTGACTTGAGCTCTTCAAAGCAACTTGGCACAGACAATTAAATCCATCTGTCCTCCTGTCCACGGTGCTCTCACCCTGTAGAGCACAGCCCTGGCTCCTGGACACACAGCCAGCCTTTATCTTGGTGAGGGGGACATTTGGACACGTGGGTTGGCCAGCCTGCCAAGAGAGGGCTTTTTTCAGTCAGATCAGAAGAAGGTAGTCCAGCAGGAGCCTCTGGAGCCTCCCAGGCGGACCTGTTCAGCTGCTGCTTCACACAATATCCCAGCTTCCTCTGCATCTCTGCTGCCTGAGTGGGGGCTGTGTGAACTCAGGAGGGCAACTGTGAATGGTGCAGCATCTGATATGAATTTATCACCGGCTGCTGGTTGGGTGGGGGATAAAGCAAAGGGAAGGGGCTCTGAGTATTTAATGCACCCTGCCACAACCCAACAGTTTGCCCTAAAGAGCCTTTTACCAATATAAAAGGAGAGGGTCAAAAGTAAGTTGACCCCTGACAGAATGTACAATTATTAGAAGAGGGCTGTGTACGAGCAGCTGCTGGAACCCCACTGGCTCCACATTGGGCTTCCAAGAGTCAGAATATGAATAATCAACTCAAGATTGTTTCTCCACCCCTCTCAACCCCCATCCCTACCCCCCAACCTTCACCTCCTGTTTTGGGCAAGTCCTATTATATTTCTACAGGAAGAAGCACAGCCCTCCCCAGCAGCTGCAATAATTGTGCTTCTATTGTGATGAAGACCTCCTCCTGGTCACCCCCCTACAAGTGTCCATTGTGAGTGGAGAGTCAGTGATTATACGCTCCGCCTGATGCTTTGGGGGACCCAGCTGCCTAAGTGCTGACACACGAGTGTGGGGAAGGCTGGGGCGGGGGCTGGTGGAGGTGGAAGCAAGAGGTGGGGGGGAGCTCACGTCTGTGAGATGGGACTCTGACATACCAGACCTTTTGCATAAGTCAAGCCCAGAACAAATGAGGCTTTATCAGGCCCCAGTGATGAGGGGGTCTCATCTCCCTTTGAAGTGGAGCTGAGCATGGGGCCTAGCAGCTTTTCCTCCTTTGGACCAAGCAAACATCCTTCTTTTGATATGCTACATGCTCATTATCTCTGCCCCATTTAATGATTTTTGATTGAAGGGTGGCGGCTGGGATGCCGAGAGGATCGTTAGAGAGGCTCCATACAGCCAAGCCCTTAAGAAAGGCTTTCCTTGTGTCTGGGCCTAAATTTGGAATTTCTTAACAGTGTGCGCTTGTTCTTAGAGGCAGATAAGGGCTGAGCGTGAAATTCTTAATTAAGCAATAAATAGAGAGTGGGTGTCAGCAGATGTAGCCAGTAGCCATGGCAACAGGAATCACATGAGCAAGAGAGCTGAGACTAGAGGGAGGCCTCGGGCCTGGGCCTGACTGACAGCTGAAGAATCCTACAAAGCTTGTAAACCAGATTAATTAGCTGACTAATTATTTCATAGCGTTAATGTAACTAAAAAATAAAAATAGTTCACCATGAACTGAAACATCCCTGGAAAAAACAGCAGGGAAAGAGGCAGAGGGAACTGGTTCTGTGAGGCAGAGGCATAAGCTGCCAGTAAGGGAAACTGTGTGGAGGGAGAAACAGGCTTGCTGGATTTGACTCCCAACTTTGTCAATGAGAAAAGAACACTTTTCTACAGTCACACTCATTCCCAAGCATGGCAGACAAGTAGTATTGGGAAGAGTCATTCTTAACAGTTTATCACATCCAATGTTGCTCCTGCTGCTTCCTAATGCAACCATAGCTCACAAACTCTTAAACTTGTGGCCTCTTGTAAGAAGCTCTTCGAGCAAAATGTTTAGTAGCTTTGGAAAGGCAACCTGAACCAAACTCCTTAAGAGATATTTTTTTCAAATGAATTAAGTTATCTTATTCTACAGATAACAATTGCTTAAGTGGTATTCAAGTTCGGTCATGGAAACAATATACCATTAATGTCATATGATCATGGACCTCAACTCTTTTACAAAACCTAGTAAAAAAAAAAAAAAAAAAGAAAAAGAAAAAGACTCAGTGAGACATTGTCTCTAAATAAAATACAAAATAGGGTTGGGGATGTGGCTCAGTGGTCAAGTGTCCCTGAGTTCAATCCCCAGTACCAAAACAAGAAAGAAAGAGAAGAAAAAGAACTGATCACATGCACACCAAAATCAAGATGCACAATGTTGGTAATTTTCTGGGGAAAAAGAAAAAACCTACTAATCTCTTGAGAAAAATGTTAGTAAAGTAATATGGCATGCTTATCATACTATATTTGAGCATTTAATACCACATTTTCAAGACAAGTAAATACTCTTAATCTTGTGGTATAAATGAAGCTAGTAAAGGCATGGAACAATTATAATGTCATGCCCTACATAGAACAGCCAGTCAGTCACTGATTAAAATTGTAAGCCCCAAGTACTGGCTATGAACTTTTCAAAAACCTAGCACTCCATAAGGATGTTGGCTGAACAAAGACAAAACTTGACTTGGTGGAAAAGAGAAATACAAGAGTCAAAACATACATGCAGCACTTTTTTCTTTGTTACTGAGGATCAATGAGAAGTTTTCGTCCATAACCCTGCCTAGCAACCCCCCCCCCCCATCCTCTTTGGTCAGTGATCAATGATTATTTAGTGGGCAGCACACTCTAGTGGAGGGATCCATAGCCAGGAGCTAGAATGCCTGGGTTCGGATCTTTTCCATTCTCAGCTGGGTCTAAGATTAATCACATGTGAAGCAGCCCAATAGGGAAAACACAGATAATTGTGACTTTGTAAAAACTTCCTGTCCTGAGGCATGTGCTGAGGTTGCAAGCAAACAATACAAAGAGGGTTCACTTAGAAAGTCAATGAAACGCAGCCATCAGTGAAGTAGCACTAGGAATGAAATAACAGCACAGAGAGGAGCAGCACCCCCAGAACCCGGGAAAAAACAGCAGAGAAAGAGGTGGAGGAGCTCCCTACAATGGAATGAAACTTCTGTTGGTACCATTCCTCCCATGCGTTTCCATTCTAGCACCTGCCCATGTAGACATCGATGTCTTGGCCTAAGGTATTTCATGTAAATTATCTCAGTCCAAATTTTAGAGTTATAGAGTCTGGAAAAGACAATTAGATAAAAGTAGCAATCTAATCAATATATCAAATGTGTGGCCCAAGGACTGGGACTCTACTTCCTGGGGTTTTGTTGGGATACTGTCTACAATAACTACCTCCCTGCCACATGGCACTGGGAAATGCTGACAGTTCTGCAGAAATCATGGTACCTTAACACCACCTCCCTACCAATGTTGTAAATTTATGCAGAGGATATACAAAAATTACATCCAAATCTACACAACCCAATGCAGCTGCAGGGGAACCTCCATGGAGGAGTGGTGCAAGCCTCAGTTCCTCTGGAATCCTCCATCCTCAGTGGGCCAGCCCCGAGATGGGAAGAGAAGTGGCTGTATCATTCATTTGTGCTGCTGAGGGCAGTACCACTGACCATGAGAGCTACTACTGGGAATCCTCTTCAGGGAGCAAGGGTCTCCAGGTTTAAGACACTCTCAAACAACCTTCTGTGACTCCCTGTTCCTTACTCAAAACATAAATAAAGGTAGATATTTTAGGACATTTTGATACAAATATTTCTTAAATTAATAAAGACTACCTAATGAACTATATTAAAATAGTCACCTATGTCATATGTAAGCACACACAAAAATATACATCTATGCATAAGTACATATGCACACAGGTAAAGATACTTAGACAGATGTGCATTTATACCAAAGAAGTGAACATAAAGTGTGATGGCATGACTTGCTTTAATTCAATTAATAATGCTAGCAAAGGGGGAGAAAATCTGTGGCTGCATCATTTGATTGGTTTTCCTTTGTGTCATAAACATTTGGCTTAAGTGAGTATTCAAATTAGCTTGCAGTTCATGAACAAAACCTGACCAATGGAAAAGACAGCCCCTTCAGAAGTGTGCTAAGTAATAGAAAGAGAGCAATTAAAATTGATTTTTTTCAAGAGTACATAGCAAGTAAATAGTTATAAAGTTAATGGCAACTATTTGCTCTTACTTAATGACTGTATTTGGCTCCAGTGGTAAAACGCTGTCAGCAATCTCTGTCCATCCTGAGTTTTAATAGTTTTAGGTTATATTTATGGATGGATTAAATTAGAAATAAAATGTAAATGGTAAAATTCAGTATAAAGAAAACATGATAGTCCAATTGGCAAGAAACTGAAAACTGAGAAAGCTCCAGACTCTCCTCTCTGGTGCAATTAAAACTGAAGAGTCCCAGACCCTGATGTGACATGGGTAGGCATAGGTGGGAAAGACAAGGGGCTGGGACCAAGTGTGGCTTGTGGCAGGGGATATGCCATACTGACAAGGTACCCTGAATTTGACCAGGATTTATTAAGAGCAATCTATGAGAAAGTCATCATTTGAGATAAGTTTTGTCAGATTCTCTTTCTTACAGACCATATAAGAAGTGGTCTTACAGTGAGTTGATGAGGTTGGTACAAGTGGACACCAAGGTTCTCAGAGTGACCAGTGCTGATATTAGGATGGAAAAAGAATGAGACATAAACTCCAGGAAGCCAAAAGAGGTAGACAATCCTGATCTTAACATTGGGATCCTATGAAAAATGAACAATAAGAAGGTATTGGGAGGATCAGACTTAGAAATAGTACCTGCTTAGTGTCTCCTACTTATTAAGTCTCGGAGCTGGGATTTAAACCCAGGCAATCTTATTTCAGAGCCTACTCATTCAATTATAAATTATACATAGCTGTTCCCTTCAGTGCTTCACATCATAGCACAAAAGTCTGGAATTCAAAAATAAATGGTGGTTTCTGATTCAATGCCCTCAAAATGCTCCCCCAGTTGAATACTTACCCAGATATGTGAGTTGCCTTGATTTTCTGTTGAAGAACCAGTCACAGCCGTGGTCCCGCCCAGGTGATGGCAGAGATGGCAGAGACTGACCCACCTGACTCCCACATCTTATAAAAATATCAGACAGAGGTGGCAAGTCTGTGTGCACCAGCAGTAGGTAATTGCCAGGAGCAAAGTTGTCAAATGTTGCTTCATACTTGAAGTAAAAAAAAAAAAAAACACCAAAATAACAATCATTTAGTAAGAACACCCCTTTCTCCCCTAAAAAAAAAAAAAAAAAAAAACCCAAGAGTTTAGAACACAGATGGAGTAGTTTAGAAACAAAAACTTTTCTTGTGGGAACTGGGCCTACTTAAATCTATTCCATAAAAAGTTCAAAACTACAAACAAAATTTCATAGCTACAAAATCATAGAACAGGGAGACTGAAAGAAGCCATCAAGTTCATCTTGTTTAAACCACCTCGGTTAGCAAAGAAGAAAACCCTGGCTCAGACAAGTGAATTGACTTGTCTCAGGTCAAACATCTAGAAGAGCCAGGGCCCCATCTAGAATCCCTTCCCAGTTTTCTCTCACAACTTGAAGAGGCAGGCAATGACAGAGTGACACGCATTTGCAACAGTAACAGCAAGCAGTGTTAGAGCAATCACCGCACCCTCAGTCACTAGTCATTAGAGTCATTCAATTCTTAAAAGACCCTCTGTGATTGCTACTCTTACTGTCTCATTTTACAGTGGAAGAAACTGAGGCAAGAAGAGGTTCAGTAACTTGCTTTGTTTCATAAAACAGGAGAGAGCTGAGCTAGAATAACACCTGGGATGCCCACCTCCAGAGCCACATCCCACCACCTTTACTTTCTGAAAACTCCCCAGAATGTTCCCAGAGGAACCTCAAGCGAAGGAAAGAGAGGTGAATATACTTGCTGAGGGCAGTGGTGAAAGGATCGGGAGATTCTGTTCTGAATTCCTCATAACCATAATGCACCTAAAGCAGCTTCTCTCTCCCTAAAATAGGCTCTTTTAGGTATTTGAGTATCTGTAGAGGTTTTAGCAGTCACTGTGTGGATCAAAACACTCCAGAGGGAAGTTGGCATTGGATCATGACTGAGGAAATGTGTAGGAGACAGGAAGAACTGTGTTAAAGGAAGAAAAGAGACTTGAGGGATCCACTGGATTACTTTTTTCCCCAAAATATACACACTTTCCATGTAGCTATTCCTTCTTGCTCCCCAAGACCTTTGACTCCTTCAACCCACCCAGCCTGTGGACTGAGACCTCTGCTTGAGAAGTTAATCTTTGACCACAAGGTGGCAGTATGAAATGTACAAATGCCTCCTTAAAACATTTTCTCTGGCTACAAATTGGGGTATAAAAACTGCTTGGTTTTTAACCTGAAATTTTTACAAATGCAGTTCTAGATAATGCTGCAAGGCTGTTTTCATTGATTTAATAAATTAAATCTTTCAAGCAGAGCCGTTCTGCATTTAAGATGGGATTTAAGCAGATTCTGAAATGTTCAAGTTAACAAACCAACCAAATCTCATATTCAAGTTATATTCACCTAGTAAAAATGCAGCTTTACTTTTCTTCCCCAGCATCAGACGATGCTAATATTTGCAACTCATTACTTCACAAAAGGAAACACAAGAATCACATATTGGGGATGAGATATACCAACCAATGAATGGATCCCTGGGATTACCTGCAAAGATCTGTTGATCCAAGGATTCTCAAATTGCAATGAGTAGGTCTCTTGATCCAAAAGCAGAGCCATCCAGCCATAATGGTTGGACAATGTGTCATGTACATAATTGACAGTGGTTGTCTTATTTCTGCTGTCCTTCAAGGTTAAATCATAAGAAACATCAGGAGAATTAACCCTAGGGTAATTTGAAAAGAGAGAAAAAAAGCGTTTCTTGGTTATTGGTCCCTTCTGGATCTAGTGTATTTCCTGTCCATCAATTATAATCATATTTCTATTCTCTCCTGTGTGTCTTAGGCACATCGTTTGAGTATCTGTAGAGGTTTTAGCAGTCACTGTGTGGATCAAAACACTCCAGAGGGAAGTTGGCATTGGATCACTTCCAAATTACCCTGGCCTGGTACACTGCAGTTGGTAACACTCAGATCTAAGTTCACTAATACATGTCATGTTACCTCAGTGAGTTCACATGGGCCAGAACTATATACGATTATTTTAACAAAGAAATGTTTACAGTCAGAATTTTCCCATATACCAAGTTTGGGTTTTTATTTATTTATTTATTTATTTATTTTGGGAGGGTACCAGGGATTGAACTCAGGGACACGCAAGCACTGAGCCACATCCCCATCCCTACTTTGTATTTTATTTAGAGACAGGGTCTCACTGAGTTGCTTAGCACCTTGCTTTTTGTTGAGGCTGGCTTTGAACTTGCAATCCTCCTGCCTCAGCCTCCTGAGCCACTAGGATTACAGGCATGTGCCAATGAGTTCAGCCCATTTACCAAGTTTATTAACAGCAGAAACACATTACCTTGAGTAATTAGATATATCTATGGTGTGCAATGATAGAAGTCCAGAACCTGACGTGCCTAGACTCTAAAATGTCCTCTTCAACTGACTAGCAAGTAGCCCTCAGTAGCCTTCCCTAGAAGGAAGAGGTGATCTGGTGCCTGTTCTGTGGGCTGGCCTATTGTCCAGTGCTCACTGTTAGCACAGCCCCTCAGTGTTTTTGAGTTTGCTTTTTTAAAAATATAGGTTATAAAATCCTTAAGTTAGAGATATTTCTTCTGCCTCTTTATACCTGCTGTGCAGCACTGGGTCCTGCAGACCCTGGCATCCAGATAGTGTTTGTTATATGAATGAAGAATGCATGATAAGATCTTCCAAAAGCAAACAGTGTCATTCTAATTTATATAAAGGGTTTCAAGAACTACATTTTAGCAAATGGAGGAACTGATGCAGAGTATGGCAGAAATATGTAAATAGCATAAGACAGAAATTTATGATCCAATGTCTCCCAAGTTGTTCTACTCAGCCCATTCCAGAAAGTGATTTTTAAGTCTCTATTAGAACATAAATAGATTTAGTCACATGCTAAGTCTCTAAAAGTGAGTCAAAATAGTCTTAAAAAATAAAACAAAAGTGTTTTTTTTTTAATCAGTACATGTTATGACTCTTTTCCCCTTTGGTTCAGTTTTCATGTGAATCTTTGTGGCATTTTGCTGTGGGCAGATAATTAAATTCTCAAAATAGAGGAAATTGAGGAGGAGGATGTTGGGTTTTCAAAGTGAAGTGGTACATGAGGATATCTAAAGTCAATTTATAATATGGTGGCATATTATCAAAAGGGAACTTTTATTTGGTAGGAGAGATCTTGATTTGTCATCCAAGTTGGCCTTGAGCTCCAGGGTACAAGCACTACTTCTGCCTCAGCCTCCTGGGTAAGGGTGTTCCATCATGCCCAGCTAAGGGAAATTTATTAATGTTAAATGCTTCAGCAAGTTGGAGTCTAATACATATAAGTTAGAAAAGTAGATCTGCACACAGGAGTGCATATGAACTTGGGCAAATGACTAACTCTGTTTAAGCTTTGGTTTCCTTTATTTTTATTTCTTTTATATATATATATATATATATATATATATATATATATATATATTTGTAGATTGATGCAATACCTTTATTTATTTATCTTTATGTGATGCTGAGGATCAAACCCAGGGCCCCACACATGCTAGGCAAGCGCTCTACCACTGAACCACAACTTTAAATGGAGACAAGGATAGTGCACATAAACTTCCTGTAAGTACAGTGAAACTTTAAAAGATCATCTACATTTAGCACTCAGTAGGCATCACCATGCCCAACAGCACCTCTCTACAGCTCACTTAAGATTTGCCATTCTTCCCAACTTATTTGTATGTCTAGAAGCCTATCCGTGGTATTTGTTCATTTAAAACATTCCCCAAAGCTTTCATGTTACAGAGAATAGGACTTGTCAATATAGCACTTGAGATACACACACACAAACACACACGCACACGCACACATGCATACACACATTTACACCTGGTGAGAGTAAATGTGTTTGTTTAATCTGTTAATGAAATAAAAGTGCTGGTGGTGGGATAATTTGTAAATTAAGCAACTACTCTTTCCCCATATTTTCTTTTTTTTAAAAGAGAGGGAGAAAATCTATTTTGTAGATGGAACACAACAAAATGCCTTTTATTTTTATGTGGTGCTGAGAATCGAACCCGGGTTGCACCCATGCTAGGCAAGTGCTCTACTACTGAGCCACAATCCCAGCCCTCCCCATATTTTCTATGCAGCATTAAGGGTACCTTTACAAATCTTGGGGGAGGGGATAATTTCTTCTTCTCTTCGGGCCTGAAATACTGAGAGTTCATATGCTCCATTTTCATCAGCATTTAAATTAGAATAACTGGACAATCCTTAGCTTATAGTCATAGCTCAGGGTGGACACACAGAGCCTCTGTTCTAACTTACAGGCCATTGCATGACTTGCCTCCATGGTACTTCACCCTGTCCCCACTTCTAGTTCTGAGTGTTCACATCCTCAAAAAGAAAACCATTACATTTATAGAATTTATTTTAAAATTGTAATGTTTAGAACACCTTTAGAATGCTGAATTGTCTTTCTTGTATTTTCTAGCTATTTGTCTTCAATATCCCTGGCTATCTCTTCCCCTGAGTGAAACCCTCAGTCCCAGGATTTGCCTAGAGAATATATTTAATAAATAAAAATAAGTTTGGGGGAATAAATGCAAACAAATGTGATAAGAAGAGATGGTGAGAATTAAGAAATCAAAGAGGTAGATAAGTCGTCTGTAATAGGTACCAAGGTCAGTAGTTAGGATGGGATGGGACTCCCCACCATCCTGAGAATGAGTTCAAGTGTTTCAGGTTGTGAAAGTGCATCCTTTCAGCTTCCACAGAGATGAATGGGATCTGAATAAAGAATTGTAAGTCCTAAATCCAGGAGAAACTAATCAATAAGTTGGAATTTCCAATTAATTTCAGTAATAAATAAAACTGTCTTTTGTATGGGAGTTCAATAAAATATTTGTCAAATGAAGAAATAAGTGTGAAATGTACCTGCACACTCCTATTGGCTACTGAGTAACATTTCTCCCCAACAGAGAAGTCCAGCTAGCAAACTGCATGGGTGTTAGAATATTTCTTGTGAACTTATTCATCAAAGGAAATAAGCAACTGATCTTAAGTTATCAGAATTTGATATAGTCAACCCATATCTACAGAATGTTTATCTCAAGGACTTGAACATTATATTTAGTGGTCAGAAAAACTCTTTGGGTCATGGACAAATCATATGCACTAGTAGTGGGTCCTGGTTCAGGAAAATGTTAATTTTTTTCCTTAATAACCCATATTTTTTCTATTCTACTCAAGTGCTCACAATTGAAACACTTTGGAAAATAATTTCATATATCCAATGACCTCTGAACTTTTATTGCCCCCCTGCTCCCCTAAGGGAACACTGCTTCTTTTGCCTCAATGCCTGAGTACTTTTGTGTCACTGGTCTCAGACGCCTTTTTTGTCATGTGTAATCCTGTGAAGTGTGATCTTTTGAATGGTTTGCAAGGAGTTGTTTTGACCAGGTATCATTAAGATTGAAGTCCTCTCCAAATTTCAGAGGTGATGGTAGGTGGCAATCTTGGCCTCCACCTTGACCTTGATGTTCAATAGGGTCTCTTATTCCTGGTCTGTGCCAGACTGCGCTTTAGGTATAGCAGGACCTATTGAATTTCTCCCTCTGCATGGTTTAACAGACTTCCACATCCCTCAGGCTATTTTTCCAACCTGATTTTTGGATATCACATTGAATTAAGGTCAATCTCTGAGGACTGGACTGTGCTTCTCAGCTGTGTGAACTTCATCTCAGGAACTCTGATCTCTGGGGATTACAGCTCTCCTCATTCTGTTGGGTCCTATTTGTTTCACTTTCCTCAGTTCTTCTGAGCCAGCTAATCATACTTGGTCCACATTTCTTCCACGATCTTGCTTAGGTCCTGATATTTGGGGGCATTCCTCTATTCTGTCAACCCAGAACTAGTATTCTTGGCTATAGACCTTTCAGTTCTTCCTTAATCTCCTTCACAAATATCAACTCCTTCCAGGAGCATCAATTTCCATCTCCAGCTACAGTTAAGTGGTATTGGTGTCATCAGTAACCTTGGGAAGCCCATGGATGTCACTCTTCAGACTGGCATATGATCTGCTCCAACTCACACTTGACCATAAAACCATCAGCAGCAAAATATACCCCGTCAATCTATAGAACAATCTGGGCATTGTCCAGTGACTTTGCAAAGATCTGAGTCCTCATCTCCTTGAGGACCCCTCTTTTCCAGGTATTCCTGAATTTTGCTTTTTAGGCTCCAATTACCAGTCTTCAGTCTCCTGGTGGAGGACAGGTGGTTATTCTGGTCTTACATGGTCTTCACGCTTTGGATTCTACACATTCCCAAGCAATCCCCAGCCAAACCCACAACCATTTTCCTGGGCCCTCAGAAACACTGAATACTGGTGGAATAAGAAAGAAGAGACCTGGGAACCTGAGCTTCTAGAGCCTGCACAGATGCTGGCTGTGCCACTGGCCAGTCAAACTAGGTGGTTTCATGACCAGCCATAGCCTGCAGAGAGAGTTGGTGTAGAAGGTGTTGGGGCAGTTGGTAAAGCCCAATGTTGTTTGTAGACAAAGGTTACAGCCTAGGACTCAGGTTTGGGCCACTAAAGAATAGTTCTATTTTAATTATCCAACAACAAAACTCCTTTTGTTCAAATACACTCATCTGTTCCCATTTAATTCCTCCTGCCTCACCAGCTTATATTTTGCCATTCTTTGCTTAC